ATATATATATATATATATGAATCGATTAAAGGATCTGCTATGAAATTATTGCTATTATTCTTTATTTAGAAAAGTCTGATAAGATTTCAATAATAATATTTATTTGATTTTCTTCTTTAGTTATCGATAAAAAAATATATATTCGTATTTATTTATTAATAAATTTATGAAAAATAAAAAATTATTAATAAATTTCATCTTATTCATTCTTATCAGAATTATATTACATATATATATATATANNTATATCTCTCTCTCTCTCTCTCGATCCGAATCGATTTAGATAGATGCATACATTGATTAATTTTTTAAATATATCTTCTTGATATATCTATGTTGAATTACTATTTTTTCGATTCTTCTATTATCTCTGAAATAGTGCACGAGTCCAGTAGAGCAGAGGTTGTCGGGCCGGCAGGGAAAAGTCAATGTACATTTTCAGCCGGAAAATGCCTGCCACGACCCTCATTGCTCGCATGCACATGGATGCCGTTCTAAACCCGCTCTTGCAGGAAGAGTAGGCTAGTGTTTGTATGGCGGTCAAAATTTAAAATAATTAAAAACCCATGTGCGCGCAAGCTCAAATGGGAGGGCTCAAGCTTCATAGCATACTAACATATGTACCTCCTTGTATTCATGCGTATGGCTTTGTATCGGAGTTTACCAAGTGTTTCAATGCCTTATCCCAGAAAAGTCGAAATGCATGTCAATTTACCACTGCAGCTTGGGGCATGTGTAATTGTTTTTAAAGGGGTTATGTTGACACGAGTGAAATCTTGCGCGCACAGGGCGGGCTCAATGGCTCCTTTAATTTGGAACAACCCGGAGCAGATGTGCATGTAACATCCACATCTGCTCCAGGGACCCCCTCGGTTTCATCGCGAGTATAGGACCCATGTTGTTTCAGGCAGAGTCATAAGCAGGGTGCTGCTAGCGATCGATTCTGTCAACATGACATCACCAGGACGCTGAACACCCGCGTTCTCAAGCTCAGGGGGATATTGGTTCCAGACATTGCAAGACTGCAACGGCTCTGAACCCGACACTGTAACCAGAACACTAACAATGAACTTAGCAAACACACATGCTGTGATACTAAATGGGTCTTGCAGTGCATAACATAGTCAGAGGATGCTGCAGAGAACGCCTCAGGCGCGGCTACGCACTACTACTCATTGCAATCTCCTCACATTTGCTACGTCCATTTGCAGCCATGACAGGCGAGATGCTGGATCAAAGGTAGAAAGTGCTGTCCGAAGAGGGGCATACTTGGACTGCCAGGCTGTCTTGCGCGGCCACTTCTCGACCCTTGCCCGCTGCCACAATCTTTTCCTGCACGATGTCATCCATAGCAGAATCCTCCTTGCCCTTGGCTGCCATCGTCCGGGGCTTCTCGCCCAAAGCCCAGGCCAACCCTTTCTTGCCCAATGGGGAATGGAGTGCCAGGAGCACTGCTAGCCAGAAGAGGAACAGTGCCACAGGACGCAAGTCACCCTGTTCGGTCAAGCCTAGGGCGACTTGCGTAGGAGCCCATACCATGACCACTACAAAAACGACAATGGATTGCGTCAAGATGGCGGCGCACCAGCGGCTTCGCAGCCTGAGGCCTGCCTTCAAGAGAGGATTGGAGATCCAAACAGCCAACATGCTGGCCAACGGAACCGTCCCCCAATCAGCGACTTGTCGCAAAGTGAAGGGGGCAAGAGCATAGCCGGAGCTGCCCAAGCGCACATTGGCAATCCACAGTGCGATGTGATCTGCGAGGTAAGGCAGATTGCTCGCACCGACAGTGAAAATGGTATAGGAAAGGGGCAATGTCGCGCCACTGATGAGCAGTGTGATGCTCGGGGCTAACTCCTCACGAACCAGCCTGCTGAATGTTTCCAAATGATCAGCCTCGCTTTCCACGTCATCGTACCACTGCTTCAAGGTCTTGTATACCAGCTTCCGATCGCATTGCAGCCGAGATCCGTTGTGCGGGTGCCGGTGGTTGTTCGAGCAGCAGAAACACTCAGCGTCGACCAATCGGAAGTTTGCCAGTTGACGAGGGATTTGGTCTAAATCCGCAACGAGAACCATGCCTAAGTAGAACACGAAGGGTAGCAGAGCACCCGAAAGGAGGAGCATCAGCCCGCTCAAAATCAGCGCCTGGCTCCACCTCTCGGCAGATAATGCAGATCCGAGGTCACTGGGTCTGATAACTGCGGAGAACATGTTCCAGCCGATGGCCAAAACAAACCAACATCCGGAAGCCAGAAGAAATAGAACTGCTGTCTTCAAGGGCATGAGATGGATGCTCCTCTGCCGCTCCGAATCTTTCATGAATGTGGCAATTTCTAACAAACACCAAAGGCGGGTGAAGTAGCGTGGTGTGTGTGTGTGTGTGTGCTTTACAGTGCAGTGGCCTACGCCCCGAAGGGTGGCTTGCTGCACCAACGGGCCGCCGAAGCGGAAAGAAAAGGAGCGAGCACTTTTGCAGTAAGCACAGTCAGCCAGCGCAGCTGACTTAAAGCATCTCGAAGCACCATTGCAACCTCCGG